ATAGGTACCCACCGTCTGATGGGGATGGCGGAGTTTTGGGTAGAGATGGTGGTGAGAGTTACACAACAACCTGTGAATGTATTTCAGGTTCCTGAATCGAATACTTCTTGTTATTGTTCGGTTGCTAAATTGTGTCCTGCTCTTTGCACGTTATGCTCCTCAGTCCTCCAGTGTCTCCAGGAGTTTGCTCACATTCATGTCTGTTGAGTCGGCAAAACCATCCAACCATCTTATCCTCTGCTTCTTATCCTCCCTTCTCTGATGGGCTTCCATCTTTCCCAGCATCAGAGTCCTTTCCAATGATTTGGCTCTTCACATCAGGCGGCCAAAGTATTGGCTCTTCAGCTTCAGTAACAGTCCTTCCAGTGAATATTCATGATTGACTTCCTTTAGGATTGACTGGTTTGCAACTTAGGGAGGGTGAAAATGATAAATATGATGTTGTGAATAGTTTACCATAACCATAATTGATCCCGTGACACCTTGTGAATGGGTGAGAAGTTAGAAAGTCTTCAGTGATTGTTATTTCACCACAATGGCAGGGGGAAACAGTGCCTTGCTTTATTGATTATTGATTAGGTGATTGATTGATTGACTCGGGAATGGAAGCCACCAGCCGTCTGTACAATCTGGATGAGGCTGTGAAGCAGAGCACCTCTGGAACAGCCTCATGCTCTGCAGACACCCACTTAACCTGGAGATCAGTGGAGCCATTTCTTTTCTTTCAAGGAGCAAACCACTGTCTGTGTTCACTGGGCAGGATCTCGGCTCCTGGACCCTTCATCTGAGCCATGCCCCTGCCTGCAGAGTAAAGCGGGAGATGGAGGAACCCTGGCTTCATTGTGCTGTGCAGAGCAGTGGGAAGGAGCTTGGCAGATGCCAGCCTCCTTCCAGGCCCAGCACCAAGATGGCATGACCTTGAAGAGGTCACCAGGTGTCCCTGAACCTCACTCAGCATCTTCATCTTTTGAATGTGACTAGAATCCTTGAATGGACTGAGTCCACACTTGGGTGTGTGCCTGGCGCATGGCACGTGTTGAACCAGGACCGATTTTCCCATGCTGTCACTCCAAAGAGGAGCCTCGCTGGACGGAACCACAGTTCATTCTTGGGCACCAAGAGGGAGCCCCACAGAGGGGCAAAGCTGGCAGGAGTCAGAGGCAGATTCAGAAGTCTCACTCTCACCCTTCCATGATCTGTGTGATCCTGAGCCCAGGGTAGGGTGCAACAGGAGGAAAGAGAATCGTAAAATCAGGAAGGAAATCACTGCTGTCAGCCCTCGGCTTCCTGGTAGAGAAGGACCGGCACAGCTACTCGGAGGGAGAGAGGTCTTGGGTGAAGTGTCAGCCACTTGGAGGCCCCTGAAAGCTCAGCTCTGAAATCAGAGTGAGACGGGGAAGGTTGACCAGCAGGCCGGATGGCTCCCCTCCCGCCATCCTTTCTCCCCTGTAGAGAAGGTGCCACTGGCCCAGAGAGCGGGCCATCTGTCCCACCCAGTTCTGAGTGTGCTCGAGTGCCTGGTCACATTGACAGAAAGACCTCCCACCTATCCCCATCCCCAAACAAGCTGGCTCTTTCTCAGCCAAGACCACTCCCTCCCTTCAAGGATGGGGGACAGGGACTGTGGTGGAAGCCCACCCAAAAGCCTCCTCAGACTGTCACCCCTCTGCACAGCAGGTCCATGGGAGCCTTTGGGACAGTTCCAGGCGAGGTGACCCCTGCAAAGCATTTTGCAAGCTCACTTGACTACGAGTCTTTTTACCCACACTCTCTCAAGTTCTAGAGACATGTTTTGGGAAATGTGGCCTTTATCGTTCTTTTTTTAATATTTATTTATTTGGCCATTTTGGCTCTTAGTTGAAAGATGTGGGATCTTTCATTGCAGCTCACAGACGCTCTGGTTGTTGACACAGGCTCCAGAGTACACAGGCTCAGTAGCTGTAGTTCATGAGCTTAATTACTCCCCAACATATGAGATCTTAGCTTCCGGACCAGGGATCCAACCTGCATCCTCTGGGTTGCAAGACAGATTCTTAACCACTGAACCATCAGGGAAGTACCCTTTACAGTTCTGAACTGTAGCTTAATATGGCAGAAGTTTTCTAAATTTTTTCTGTTTAGATGTGTGCAGCCTTGACAACTGAAGTTCTTGGAGCCTTGGTTTTGACATCTGTAAAATGGGTATTATATACATATGGTATCCACAGAGACAACTGCTGCAGTTATAAACAAAAGTATTTCACAGAATGCACAGATCAAGACTGCCTACAGCTGCCTAGGGAGCTAAGCATTCATAACTGAGTACCATATGTGTTACCTATTGCTTTTAATTATTTACACATTTAACAAATATTTACTACCTGACAGAGTGAGAAAGTATAATTGCCCCTTCTTTGCCATTGCTGTTTGATTTGGGAGGCAGAACGCCAAGGTGGGGATGGAGTTGAACGTGCCTGGTGTGCCACAGCTATAAATTCCAGGGTCAAAATCAGAATCCTGGTCCGTCTGAGCCCAAATGCAGGTGTTCTCCACCACGCCGGCCGCCTGGGCTCCTGCAGTCAGCCATGAAGGTGCCGTAAGGAATGCAGTAAGGGGGATGTCAAAGGTCCTTCTCCAAGGAGGCCACAGCTCCACAGAGACGTGGAAGTCACCATGGGGCCTGGGGAAGGGCCAAGCCAGGTGGACAGGCAGGTTTGGAAAGCCCATAAGGGGAGGAGAGGGCTCCCTCAGAGGAAGGACCAAAGAGGAGGACCACACGGGGAGGAAGAGGGAGACAGGGAGGGAGGTGCTGACCACGCCCACATATCAGTCAGGATGGGCCTGATGCTGTGGGTTTTGGGGACCTTTGGAGATTTCTGACTTGGGTCATCAGGTGTTGTAGGGGAGCAGAAAGACTTTGAAAACTATGCAGCGAATCATTCTACATAGCCCATAGGAACCTAAAATGGTGCAACCACTTTGGAAAACAGTCTGGTGGTTCCTCAAATGATAACACAAAGACACATGTATAGGACCTTCCCCAGTGGACCAGAAAGTTGAGGCTCTCCCTGCCAATGTAGGGGACAGGGGTTCGATCCCTGGACTGAGAAGATTCCACATGCTGTGGGGCAACTAAGCCCATGTGCCACAGCTACTGAACCCATGCTCTGCAATTGGAGAAGCCGCTACAAGGAGAAGCCCACCTCCTGCAACTATAAAGTGGCCCCACCACCACCTCACCACAGCTAGAGAAAGCCCTGGTGCAGCAGTGAAGACCCAGGGCCCCCCAAAATAATAATTTTTTTAAAAAAAAGATCTACTCTATGACCCAGTAATTCCATTCCCAGGTACATATCTGAGAGAAATAATGGAGATATACAATCCACAAAACAGTCAAAAATTGAAAAAACCCAAATGTCCATCAACTGATCGATGGATGAACAGAGCATGATCTATCCCTACAATGGAATATTATCCAGCCAGACTAAAGTATGAAGTATTGACATTCGCTACAAAATGGATGAACTTAGAAAACATTCGCTGAGGAAAGAAGCCAGACAAAAAAGACCACAAATACAATTCCATGCATGTGAAAATGGCCAGAATAGGGAAATCAGTCAAGAGAGAAAATAGATTAGTGGTTGCCAAAATTTGGGAGAACCGGAGGATGAGAATGATAGCCAACTGGCTTCTTTTAGAGGTGGTGAAAATGTTCTAAAATTGACCGTGGTGGTGGTTGTACGTACCTGTGAATATACAAAAGCCATGATGAACTCCATGGTGTGTGACTTAGGCCTGGTAACACTGTTTTTTAAAAATTTATGTTGTTATAGTTGTTCAGTCACTAAGTCATGTCCACTTCTTTGCAATCCCACGGACAGCACGCCAGGCCTCCCTGTCCCTCACCATCTCCAGGAGCTTGACCAAGCTCATAAACCAAAATTTTACGGTGCCACAAAATAGTTTATATGTTAGCTTAGTTAGATCTGACCTCTGCATGGGGAGGTTTATCTCATTTCCCATTTTACAGATACAAGAAAGGAAGGTTCAGAGCGGTCAAGTGACGTGTCCAAAGTCAGGGCTACAGAATGGTCACTCCAGGAGTCCAGCCCATCCCCCGAAGCCCACACTCTGCCGGACAGTCATTTCAGTCCCTAGGGATGCTGTCCTGCTCGCTGAAGGCCCCGGTCAGCTGTGACTTGCTAAATCCCTCCTAAATTCACTCTGTTGCTCAACCTACCTGGTGGGTTCCCCCCTTACTCCCCACCAGCCCCCAGGAGATGGGTTAGGGTGGGCTTTGCTTCTAGCTCAACTCTTTATCTTCAAAGGCGATTTCCGCTCCAAATATTTATGGCAAAATACAGAGCAAGCCTTCTTTCGCTGGGGGCCCACGTTTGAAGCTGTCTTCCCAGTGTGCGGTATTTGACAATCAAATCCCTCCGAGGACACATTAAGATCTCTTGGCGGCTGGTGCGCCGCCCCGGCACCCACCCACCCCCGTGAAGTGCCCCACCCACGTTCAAGTGGGGACACTTCCCTGAGTTTCTAGGATGCCACGCCCAGCGTGTTCCCGCGCTGACTCTGTCCGCTGGGCCTGGTGGACCCAAGGTCAGGTCCTAGGCCACGTGTCCTCTCCACGGGGGATCCTCAACACCCGTGAGACATAGATTCTGGGGCAGCTGGTGGAAATCCAGATCCTCCATTTACTCGGGGTGTGACCGCACACAAAACCACCTCACCCAGCTCACTTCATTCCTTAAATGGGAAAGTGGGGACAACAAGAGTAACATCAGGATTTACAAGATCATTTCAGGATTTTACAGGATTATTTCCTAAAGGGCTTAGAGCTTCAGCTGTCCCATGTGAAGAACTCAGGAAATGTGATCGATGATCACTTTCTCTTCTTCCTTCTCTTTTCTTCCTTCCTTCTTTTTCATTACCAAGCACAGAATCCTGCAGATACAAATAGCCACACACGTTTACTACATGCCCGGTCATCCGCATGTGTCCCTGCTTCTCAGAGGACCCTGCTGCAGAGGCATCTTTAGTGCCTTCATTTGGAAGAAAACGGGCTCAGAGAGGGGCAGTCAGTTGCCCAAGGTCACACAGCTCGTCATGCGTCCAAGGATTCAGAAGCACAAATTCGTTCACCATGGCTCCTAAGATCCGCCTCTTCCCCAAAGGCAATCGCAGTAAGCCGGACTTAGAAATAGCCGTGGTGCCTGAAGGATTGGTCGGTCTTCTGAGCTTTGGAGCATATTGTGAACTGCTGATGCAGGTTTGGGGGACACAGAATTCCGAGCTGTCGGCACATTCCTGCGGTGGGAGAAGCCAGCCCCCGCGGATGACACAGCATGCACAGCCCCACCCTGCACCCCTCCCAACCGCCCCCCCTCACACCGGTGGCCAGCCCAGGTCAGGTGGGGCCAGGCCAGTGTCTCAGAGGGCCCTGCGGGAGCAGCCAAACCCGGAAGATTCTCCAGGAGGGGTGGCCCAGGTCCAGGGAATGGACCAAGGGCTCCACCCCAGCCTCCGCTTGTCCAAGATCGCATTTTTGAGGACTGGTCAGGACAAGGTTGGGGAAGCCGTGCCAGTTCTCCTGGGGCTTTCGGAATGCAATGGAAAGAAAGCTCTCAGGCCCTGGAGGGCAGGGGTGGGACCTCTCGTTTATGGAGAAGGTTCCCAGCGCTGAGCCGGGCGGCGAGCTCTCCAGGTGTGCTGTTCAGGCAGGGAGCCAGCCCGTCCTTCCACCGGGGCCAAGCCCCGAGGACAAGGGCTCCTAAGGGGACAGCAGAACTCCCCACGACGCAGACCCAATCACGCAATCTGGCCCGACCTTGCTCTGCACTCGGCTCCCAGCAGCACGGAGGCAACTTGACCTTGGGAGTCCACTTGGTCCCTCTTCGGTAGCAAGGGGTCGATGACGTCGACCACCCTGGGCTTGTTGTGAAGACAGGAGACCCTCCCCAAGCCTCTCCCTTGTGCTCATTCAGTCGTTTAACACCTGGTCTAAGAACCACCTACCCTGCCCTGCTTTCTTGCCCCTCCATCGAAAATTCCCTCATTCAGAAAGTGACTCTCGCATTTCATTCTCGAAATGCCCAGGCCCAGGGTGACTTCCGTTCCTCCTAAACTTCACTCACTTATTCATTATTCATTTATCCGTTCACTCAACAGATATGTTAATTACCCCAATGCTTAAGTTTTTTCTGGGCGTGAATTTCAAGCTAAGGGAAAAGGAGAACTATGGTGATTCCTACATGTATCTACGTGTAGAAAACAGTAGCATGCTGAGGTGGGTGAATTTTGAACTCATAAGGGAGAAGGTGGGTAGCTTGGAGTACATATATAGTACTTGGGAGTACTGTAGCTACATACGGAGTAGCTTGGGAACATATACATTAGCATATGTAAAATACATATCCAGTGGGAATTTGCTGTGTCAGGCAAGGAACCCAAAGCCTGGTGCTCTGTGACAACCTAGAGGGGTGGGATGGGGAGGGTGGTGGGAGGGATGTTTGAGAGGTAGGGGACACGGGTATGCCTGTGACTGATCCATGTTGATGTATGGCAAAACCCAACATAATGTTGTAAAGTAATTATCCTCCAATTAAAAATAAAATTTTCTAAATAAATAAACTCTAGCTTTAAGGGGCCTTATTGTCAAACCTTCTGCGACGACCATACCTCTTGACCCCGTGGTCCTGGATTGCCATCTTCTCTTCCCAAGTGGGAATCCACGTTAGAAATGTGTTTGGACTGGAAACAGACTTCAGAATCTCTCTTTTACAGGTACATCCTTTATGAAGACACACAGGGCCGTTGCTCTCAAAAAAAGAAGCGTTTTTCCAAAGAAACTTAATGGCTGCAATAAATGTGGCAAACAAGATCCTCGTATCTTAAAAAAAAAAAAATTAATCATAATAATAATCCCATTCACCACCTGTATGTGAGTCAGCATGCCCAATTTTAAAGTGAGAATGCTGTGGCCTGAAGGCCCAAGCATCCAATTCTATAAATACAGACAGAAGCTGCAAAGTCAAAAGGCCAGACCATCCCAATCTGTCACCCTTTCCACGTTGATAAATTATGTACACCCCTTGGATGGATGCGCCTGGAGGCCTGAGGTCCTGTCTGGGAGTCAGCTCCCCGGTCCCACTCCCCCTGCCATCCGCTCCCCCCACCCACCCAGCGCCCCCTCCCTGCCTCCCCACTGTCTCCTCTGGGCAGACCAGGTGTGCTCCATGATGGATTGCCCGCCAGGCCCCTGCATCCCCGAGGCAGCCAAGCCCGGGTGGCAGGAAGCAACCTCCGGCTCCGTTTGATGGACAGCAGGCACGTCAGCACTGGAAGGAAGCCTGTCTTGGGTTGGGGAGGGGGGGGAGACCCGCATTTTATGTGAATTGCAGGGGCCTCTTCGCAGCTTCTTCCTGACCACACCCTCGGCCCCCAATTCTCAGTCCCCCGCAGTCCTCTCCAGCCCTCCTAAGGGCCCTGAACGCACTGGGTGCGCGTCTGAGAAGCTCATTTTAGCCAAAGAGCAAGAAAAGGGATCCAAGTTTCCTCCCATTTTAGAAGACTTTTTCTCTGTGATCTTAAGACGAAATCAGAAGGGTGCCGTGTCTCCAACCAGCTCCTTAGAATTCAGAAAGACGGTTGCAAGTCATTTAAAAGGAGACACAGCATCTTTAATAAATTTAATCCACGTCTGATTACAGAGCAAGAAAGCTCTCTTGCTCTCTCTTTTTCATCTTTCAGAGCCAGAATATTGCAATAACTGTTCCATCTGATTTTTAAAAAAATAAGATTTGCTAAAGGTCAATGTATCTCCTGGCCACATATGCAGCAACATTCAAATTTCCCTGGCCCAAGAATAAAAAGATTCTATCATTAAAAATAAAAGCATGAGGACATCTCCCGAGCCCATGGGGGATTTTAGAAAGAGGAGACATTTCCTTATCAAGGCGCAATCACGAGATTTTTTAAGCAGTATCTCTAATCTGCTTCCCCCTCCTGCCCCCCACAACCCATCCACCCCCTGCTCCCCTCACATTCCCCCCTCCCTCTTTTCACATCAAGGTCTTTTTATCTTCCAATTTTGCATCTAAAGATGAGGTGAATACCATTAGCTCAATTCAACCTCAAGTGTAGTCAGATGGGCCTGTGATTTCTGAAAAGCACTCGCTAAGGTCACATTAAAATGTATAAGAGCATTTCGATTCCTGAGAAGGGGGCTTATTATCCACCCGTGGTGTAAAAAAGGAATGTCAGTGGCCACAGACTTGGGTGAAAACAAAAGAGATACCAGGATTTCAGTCTTTTGTCAGCAAGCTTCTCTCCTTTCTTTGCACAGCTTTCCCGACAGCCCTACAGATAGATCTGCAGACTGCAAACTTAGGCCTCTTGCAAAAAAAAAAAAAAAAGAAAGAAAGAAAAACAAGTTGAACTGGCTCCCTTGCCAATTTTTGTTTTAACCCTTCCAGCTACAGTCAGCCGTGTCACTTGCTTTCAAATTATAAATGTGCATTTCCTTGAGGGAGAGAGAATTTGGTGTGAACTATCCTTGTGGGGTTGGTAGTTTTTTTTCCCCCCTGAGTCTGTCCTTTCAGTAAACAGGAGTCAGCATGCAGTTTAAAAAGCATATACTTGGGAGTGAGACAGACCTGGGTAAGAAGCCCACTTTTGTCACTCACGAGCTGCGTGACCCTGGATACTCACTTGTTCACTAACTCGGCAGAGATCCTTTGATCGTCTGGTATAGGCCGGACAAGGTTCTGGGTTCCAGGAGCACACAGATGAAGCAGACAAGCATGAGAGCTTGCACTCTCACCCGGGCAGGGCTTCTGTACAGAGTTAAAGCAACAAGGCAGGTGGAGATGGGTATTTTTGAGGAAATACACAGACCACTTTAAAAGAGGGGGCTTGAAGAAGGCCAACATTAGGTAGGGTAATTGAGGAAGAACCCTCTGAAGAAATGGAATTTAAGGGCTTCCTGGGGGGTCAGGTTGCCTAGTGGTAAAGAATCTGCCTGCCAATGCAGAAGACCTGGGTTCTGTCCCTGGGTCAGGAAGATCCCCCGGAGTAGGAAATGGTAGTCCACTCCAGTATTCTTGCCTGGAAAATTCTATGGACAGAGGAGCCTGGTGGGCTACAGTCTTTGGGGTTACAAAGAGTTGCACACGACTGCTTGATTAAGCATGTGCACTTCTGAGGAAGTGGAAAGTGAAGTGAGACTCAGAAGTCATGCCTGCGCCAGCAATTCAACAGGCAACTAAGGCACTGACTACAGGAAAGAGAAGAGTTTGCATCTCGATTATCCATTATTTTTCCCACCTAGCACCCCACTCCTCCTCCTTCCTATCAGCTGTGCTCTGACCTCATCCAGCAAAGAAAAGGGTCCCTGACCCAAGGCAGGCTGTCAGACCCTCACCTGAGGGGTAGCTATCTTGCACATACGGCACATACGATGGAGACAGAGGCAGCTGGTTCACCCCCTTGGTGGTGCTTTAATGAGAAGGCTATTTGGTTCTTACTCTTAACATCCTTCAAATGTCTCTGGCACCTTATTGTTCCCAGGTTTAATTCTTCAGCTTTCCTTTAGATTCTGCGAGCCAGTCAACCTTCCAATAAATACTCTTTTTGTTCATTAGTTAGAATTTGATATATGATTTGAAAACAAAACACCATAACCAACATAGAAATCAATAGCAGAGAGTGAATCTTTAAGGAAAAGAACCACTGGGAAAGGTAGGGTTTACCGATGTGACTATCGGGCCAAGAGGATTCTGACTTACATTGAGAGTGAGAACTTAATAGCCAAGGGCATGTAGAAATGAAACAGCTAATTAAGTTATCAGCTTTGAGACTGTCAAACAGAAGTCAGGAAAGTGGAACAGACTGGATTAGAATTGGAAGCGTTGCTCTTGGTCCATGGTTTTCAATATATCTAGAGAGATATAACTATAGACCTGGACGTGGGTTTGTATGTGTCCACCAAGAGGCCCTGAGAATAGTGACACTCAGTAGCAATAAGCACACTTAGCACCCGGACCATGGTTTCTAAATACCATTCTCCACACCATGGAACAAGGGTTCCTTAGAGAAACGCATGATCCCAGAGGTGTGATGGGGAAAGTACAGGGGGGCACTTGGAACATCCTGTGCCAGAAAACAATGAAGTACTCAAGGAATGAGCGGAACAGGTAAGAACAGAGGCCAACCAGAAGAGGCACACACTGACCAAATTTAATAATTCTTTTTTTAATTTACTCAGATTTATCCTGATGTGATTTACGCACAGTAAAATGCACCTATTTCTAAAGTTAATTTTATTGGAGTATAGTTGCTTTCAATGCTGTGTTAACTTCTGCTCTGCGGCAAAGGGAATCAGCTACCTGTATACGTACGTCCCCTCTGTTTTGGGCTCCCTTCCTATTTAGGCCGCAGAGCATTGAATAGAGTTCCCTGTGCTATTCAGCGTGTTCCCATCAGTTATCTGTTTTATTCCTAGTCCTGTGGACATGTCAATCATCTCCCACTTCGTCCCGCCCCCAGTTCCTCCCCTGGTGTCCATATGTGTGTTCTCCACATCTGTGTCTCTAGTTCTACTCTGCAAATAAGTTTATCTGTATCATTTTTCTAGACTCCACAGATAAGTCGTATTATATGATATCTGTTTTTGTCTTTCTGGCTTACTTCACTCCGTATGACAGTCTCTAGCTCCATCCACATCTCTGCAAATGGGACAGTTTCATTCCTTTTTATGGCTGAGTAATATTCCACTGTACTTGTATATCACACTTTCTTTATCCATTCCTCTGTTGATGGACATTTAGGTTAAAAATGAATTTATTTTTAAATTATAGGTCAAAGATTTTTGACAAATACATAACTATATACAAACATGTGGCCACCATTTTACTCAAGGTGCAAAAC